TAGTTGCTTTATCTTTTTGACTCACGATTTTGTTTTAATTATTCGATTTTGATTTTATCCAGATCATTTTTTGACTCGCAGTTTCGTCCCTATTAGCTATCTTTCACCTCGACTCGATTTTAGTCGCTTTATCTTTTCGACTCATGATTTTGCCTCTATCATTCGATTTTAGTTTCGTCCATATTATTTTCTGACTCGTGGTTCCATTTCGATTAGTAATCTTCGACCTCAACTCAGACCTAGTCGCTTTATTTTTTTCACTCACGATTTTATCCTGGTCATTCGATCTCGATTTCATCCAAATCATTTCTTGGCTTACGATTTCATCTCAATCAATCATCTTCGACCTCAACTCGGTCTTAGTCACTTTATCTTTTTGACTCGTGATTTCGCCCCAGTCATTCGATCTTGATTTCATCCAGATCATTTTCTGACTCATAGTTTCATTTCGATCAATCAACTTCAATCGTGACTCAATCCTGGTCACTTCATCTTGTCGACTCGCGATTTTGTCCTGATCATTCAATCTCAGTCTCAGTCATTTCTTTTTAACTAATCTGACTCTTATTCTCGGATTGTAATAGAGTGGGTGTCTAGGTCTTTTTATCATCTCTGTCTAATAAAGATATGTAAAGATGGACAATTGTAGACACCCATCTATGTCTGGGATCAATCAGGTCTATTTTATTTTTTCTATTATTATTACTAGTATTATAGTATAGTATATCACTATTATTATATTATTATTATTATTTTACTATATTATAGTATTATTATATTATAGTTATTATAGCTATTATAATAATAATTATTGTATTATATTAAATTATATTATTATAGTTATAATAATAATAATAATATTATTATTATTATTATTATTATTATTTTCTTTTCTTTGTTTCTTTCCTTTCTTGTTTTGATTCTGGCGTGAATTTTGAAAACTAAAATTCGATCGAAGGAATTCAACATAGTCAATGATTTTATTGCATAATTGGGGTTACAAATTCAACCCAGGAAATTAGCCAAGAACCTAAACTCAATTTGGGGTTCAGACAAAATCCAATCCTAAGATTCAAGCTTGAAATTGATTCTATCAGTTTTCTAAAATCTATCTTAAGAGGTCTATAAATTGGACAGGAAACCACAGAACAAAGGACGGTGGATTTTAGAGGGGACATAATTAATTTGGATAGGTTGAACTGGATAGTACTAGGTTTTTAAGATTCCAGGTTTTGGGATTCTGTGATCGATTTGAAGTTTTTAGGTGTGATTTGAAGATTCTGATATTAGATTTAGATTTATAGGATTAGGTTTAGGTTCAGAAAGGATTTTTGAAAGAATCTAGAGAATTTGGGAATTTTTTGGGATTTTTTTTAAAAAATTTGGGTTTGGATGAATTTTTCGATGAAATTTTTGGTGGAATATGAATTTTTCATTGACATTTTTTAAAAACTAGCAAGGATTTTCAATTTTTAGTAGGATCTTGACTAGATTTTAGAGAAGAGAGAGCATTTACGGGTCTAGATAGAGAGAGCAGAGGCATCTAGGATAAAAATGTTAAAGGATTCCTTTTATACTGCTCCAAAACGGTAGCGTTTTGGCATCCCAAGATTCGAGCTCTGATCCACTGACCCGCGCATTAACCTACATACTGACTTATCTGATTGCAAGGTTTCTTTTATTTATTTATTTATTTATTTTCATATTTTAAGTTTTGTTTTATTTTCATTTCTTTGGTTTTTATTTATTTATTTAGTAATTCAATTTTTATTAATAAAAAAAGAAAAAAATGTCTTTTCTTTTTGGAAAATCGTAAATGACAAAAAAAAACAAAAAAAAATTATCTTCAAATAAGTTTTCAAAATAAAATAAAATAAATAAAAAAATATCTTTTTAAGTTTTTAATAAAAATATTTATAAAAACAAAAAATCCTTTCACTAAATAACAAAAAAAAAATTTTCAAATTAAAATCCTTACAAAATAAATTTATGAATCCTATCAAACTATTGGAGAATTTTTATAGATTTAAATTTTATGAAATCTACCAAATTATTGAGATATTTCAAAAATTAGTTTTCAAAAAAAATAAAAAATAAATAATTTTTATCCTCTAAACTATTTGAGGATTATTTTTCAAATTAAGTCTTATCAAACTATTAGGAGACTTAATAAAATTCATAAAATTTTTACAAATCTTTTTATAATAAAGTTTCATCAAATTATTAGGAGATTGGCTTCAAAGTAAATCCTACCAAACTATTGGGAGACTTTATTAATTTTTTTGAATAAAAATACATTAATAAATCCAATGACGGAGCCTCTTTAGAGTGGGATACTAGTCCTCACGAATACTCTTGAGGTGAGAGAATTATCTTAAATTGTTACCAAGCTATTTGGACAATTTTAAGATATATTTTCAATATTAAGTTATCTGATAAATCACAAATATGATCAAAGCTTAGATAATTTAAAATCTAACTGATACCTTCCTTTAAATGAGAGCTATAATGGGTGTTATAATCTTCCTAACGCGTAACCGTACTCCTGAACTTAAACTCTAATTTTATAGATTAAAATCTAATCAGGTGGCCAATCACATTTTAACAAAAAAAATTGACGACGACTTCTTTAATTCATATCTAATGATAGATCCATAGATCTATACGTTATAACACTAATCATGAAAAATTTTAACAAAAAAGTTATTTATTTTTTTATCTTTTTGACTATAACCGAAGCCCCAGATCCTGAAACCGACTTCAATAACACTAAATTAACAAATCATTGTTTTTTTTTTTCAAAAAAAAAGTTATTAAGTTGTCATCAAAGAATTGAAGTTGTCATAAAAAATAAAAAAAAAACCCTTTACCATTTTTTAGTCAAGTGTCTAAGTTTTAGTCAATTTTGTTATTGTCCACTGTTTGTAATTCTATCTTATCCTCTTTTGCTCTTCAATGGAGATTTCAAAGGTTCTCTCTCTTTGTTTACTAGTCTGGAACCTTATTACAATAATTAATTTTAACAATGGTGTCGAAGGCTTGAAGCTTCCCACAGAATTACCCTGAATGTCAGTCTCTTACAGCAATTACCGTTAGGCAATTACTCCACATAACAGGCTACCACTTTCAGCCTCCGAAGCATTGGATCAATCAATGGTATGTTCTCCAAGATTCAATGGCTTAATGTCCATTTTAGAATCTAACTTTTATAACAAATTCGTCATTTCCGGATTTCAATCAAGTATTTTTTAAAAAATTAAACTCTAATCTTTTCGATTTTAGCAAGTGATTTTGTTTCAGACTTAAAATATATATATATATATAAATTTATATTGGTTAAGATCTACCCTTATGTATCACTGTTATTAGTTTTACATAATGTAAAAACTTTTTTTTGAAAAAAAATTTGATTTCAAATTAGCTGAATATTATCGTTTAAAGATGAATGTATAAGTCAATTAAGATAAACTCCAAATTCAAATCCATTTTTTTTTTTTATTATGATGTTACATTTGGACGTTGGATACACTTTAATGTATACTTCAACTTTAGTTTGTATAGCCAAGAGAAAAAGATAGTGTAAAAGGGCCATTAGGTGAATGAACCTTTTTCCTATTGGCTGCAAACATGGTAGTGCATGTACAAAATTCAGTTTAACTTGTTACCCATATTTATATAAACTCATGGTGGAATCTCGAATCACTTGGATGACACATCTTCTAAAGAGCTAGTTATCCACTGCCTACTTTTGCTTTTGTTCCATAGTGGTGGAATCACGCATGCCATTACAAAGTAAAGCTGTCACCGTAAAAATGTGTTTGAAGAATATCTTACCTGTTTATATGTACTTTATAAAAAAGCACTGCTTTATATACAACGCCCCTTCTGAATCCTAGTTTCAGAAAAGACTTCCATTTAGAGAAAAAAAAGAAACTTGTTTTTTCCTTTTGCCCCTACTATTGGAGTGTTCTTTTTTAGTAACATGAAAAGTAGGATGAATATCATGGGGGTTCCCCCACTTTCAACTAGAACTTAAAAAACCAGAATCTTGACTTAAACAAAATTTTCTAGCTTTTGGGTTTGGCAAGCTAAAGCAGATAGAAACTTACTTCCCTATTATAATTTTGGATTTTGTTGTCAAAGTTTGATTGTTTCATAGTTGCAAGGCGTGATGGGTGGATATCATATTCAATGGAATTAGTTAATTTCTCTTGTGGAGTTTATGGCAGAGATATATGATGCAACAAATAGGAATCATTTATTGGTGGAGCTAGTTCCATAACGCAAGTCCAATGGGTTTTTTAATGCATAATTTTTACCTAAGACCCCTACATATAACCTGATATCTACCTCCAATCATCTTCAATTTAGTTGTGAGTGACCCTGTTGTGAAATGGCGTCAGGCTTGGGTTTCAGTCTGGGACCTTCTCAAAATAAATTCCTTACTAAAAAAAGAAAAAATAGTCCTATTTTATGCGGGCACTGCCGTTAGATAAATATATATGTTGTTTATGGATATTAGTTACAAAGTCAACATTGTCACTAACTTCTTGTTTCTTTCTTTGTTTGGGTTTTCCCTTGGGAGCGTTTAAACAATGAAAAAATTGTTGCGACAGATCCAAATGGTGAGTCTACTCCACAGTATGATGCAAATTTTCGCCTCTACTTTATCCAATTTAAGCAATTATTATCCCAATTTATATGTTTATCAAACAGGCGCCATGTATTACAAAGGGTTTTACTATTTGTTCTTCCAGGTAAATCCCGAAGGAGCACTGTGGGGTAACATTGTTTGGGCACACTCAGTGTCAAAAGATATGGTGAATACGGAATCACTTGAATACGCAATCACTCCGACAGCACCCTTTGATCTTAAGGGCTGTCGCTTAGGTTCGGCCACCATTCTTCCAGGCAATAAACCTGAAATTTATTACACAGAAATTGACCCTCGTGAAAACCAGGTACAAAACTATGCTGTACCGAAAGATGCTTCAGATCCTTATCCACGTAAATTGAAAAAGCCTGCTGAGGGAAACCCGACGGTGGTTGCTGACAAAGGCATGAATTCCAACGCCTTTCGTGAACCTACCACAGGTAGGCTGGCAAATAGGTAATGGAATCTATTGGTTTGGTAGGAAGTAAAACTAACCGTACAGGGATAGCCCATTTGTTGATGAGAACGGATCTCAAAGAAATGGACCGAGGCTCCACAACACCCTTTACACTCGCTCGGTCCCTAATACTGGAATGTGGGAATGTCCAGATTTTTATCCTGATTCAAAGTCCGGTGAAAACGACTTGGACGCATTTGTACTATGAAATGGTGTGAAACATGTTTTGAAGGTGAGCTTAGATCTTACAAGATAAGTGTACACGCTTGGAACCTATTACCCAGATCAGGATAAGTACGTGTCTGACAAGGGCGGAACTGATGGTTGGGCTGGGCTTAGATATGATTATGGTAATTTCCATGCTTCAAAGACATTCTTTGATCCTTCAAAGAACAGGAGGATTTTGTGGGGATGGCTAATGAATCAGATTCTGAGCCAGAGGATGGCCTGGTATTCGGGTAACTCATTTATCTTGATATTCAATCAATATATATTTTGAATTTTAATCCCATAACTCTTGGATAGGCTTATATCCCATAATTGTAGGATCGTCTATATAAAAAGTAAAAAAAAAAAAAAATTGTGTTAAGTCATAATTTTGAATATTTTTATGTCGTTCACTTTTATAAATGACAACATTTTCATCTATTTTATCAATCTTAATATCATTTCTATAATTTTTTATATGATATATTTTTAAAAGTTTTGGTATTTCTCAAATTCAAAAACTTATTTCTCTTAATTTATATATAAAGAGAGCTACGTTTCACATATCTAAATCATATTAAACGATCTTTTCTATTCTTTTCCTTAATTCAAATTATCTTTAATTTTTTTCTAATTTTTTCATTTTTTATTTTATTTTATTTAATCTTATCACATATCCATCTAAGCATCTCATCTCAATTACGCTTATTTTTTTTTATGTTGTTTCTTAATGGTCTAACACTTAATCCCATATAAGAATACAAGATATTGTTATTTTATACAATTTCATTTTTAACTTTAATGATATATTATAATCACACAACACATCCGACATATTTCGTCAACTTAGCTATCTTGTTTGAAACTTATGATTTACATCCATTTCTATCTTAGTATTGCTTATCCCAAATATCAAAAATAATTATTCTTTGATGCTACCTTATCATCTAATTTAATCACATTAATATTCATTTTCCTATTACTACTAAACTTACAAAATGAAAGCAACTATAGGCATTAATTTTCAAACATAAAAAACCTTAGCATTAGCTATAGGTAAAATCAAGAAAATATATATATATATATATATGGTTGCCTGGTTGGTTAAATGCTGTTAATGAAAATAGTAACTCACTATTCTTAACAATTGGTCCTAGAGACTTTTTGGTTCATCATGCTATAGCTCCAAGTTTACATACAACTACATTGATCTTAGTAAAAGGTGCTTTAGACGCACATGGTTCCGAGTTAATGTTAAATAAAAAAGATTTCGGTTATAGTTTTCCTTGTGATGGTTCGGGACGAAATGGTACTTGTGATATTTTGACGTGGGATGCATTTTATTTGGCAATTTTCTAGATGTTAAAAATTCATGTCAATAAATTTTTTGTTTTGACATTATGATAACAATGATAAATAATATTAATTTAATTTTGGTTTTGATATAATATAAGTAAAATTTGATAATTTTTGATAAAATTTTAGTAACTTTTGATACAATTTGATAATTATTGATAAAATTTTAGCAACCTCTCGATGTAATTTTAATAATTAACTTTTTAATAACTTATGATATACTTTTAGTAATCGTTGATAAAATTTGAGTTATCATATATTTAATAATGGATTTTCATAAGAAAGCTTTAAATTCAATTTTAGTATAAAATAATTTTTTATATAATAACAATATTGTTTCAATTTAAATTTAGAATTTTTTTAACTAAATTTTTAATTAAATAGGTTTGTGATAGGTTTATCCATGTCTCTCAAGATAAAATTTAAAACTTCATTTCTGCTAATAATTAAGATTAAATTCCTAACCACTTTAAGTCCAATAAGTTTATCAATAATTTACTACTAAATTAATATTGATTTACTATTAACTTATGAATGATTTATTACTAAATTATGAATGATTTATTATTAAACTGTTAATGATTTACTATTAAATTACTGATAATTTATAATAAAGTTTAACTAATTTATTATTAATTTATTGATGATTTACTACAAAGATATCAATAATTATCTAATTTATGACTAAATTATCACTACTTTACTACTAAATTATCAATAATTTATATAATGAATGATTTACTATTATGTTATTATGCATTTACTACTTTGTTATCATTAATTTACTATTTAGTTTTTAATTATTTACTTCAAAATAATCATAGATTTATTACAAAATTAACCATGATACATTATCAAGTTATCACTAATTTATATTTAATTATCCATAATTTACTATTAAGTTATTGATGATTAACTACTACTAAACTATATTGATTTACTTTTAAATTTCAATAATAAACTACTAAATTATCATTGATTTATTATTAAATTATTTGTAATTTACTACTAAATTAATCAATTGATTACCTATTAAATTGAGATTTACTTACTGTTAAGTTATCACTAATTCACTATTAAGTTGTAATTGATTTTTTATTAAGTTATTAATAATTAACAACTAAATTATCACTTGTTTTTATGAACCTATCAATGATTTATAAATATGCTGTTATACTTTTAAAACAACCCACCAATAATATATGAGATAATTTTTTTTATACAATAACATTATTGTTTTATTTAAATTTAGAAAATTTTTATTATTTTTTTTATTGAATAAGTTCATGGTAAGTTTATCCTAGTCGTGAAAATGAAAGTTTTGACTTCGTTTCTATTAGTAACCAAGGTTCAATTATAGGCAACTTCAAGTATAAAAAAATTATCAATGATTGATAATTAATTTATCAATTATTTACTACTCAGTTATCAAAGATTTACTACTAAATTATCGATGATATTTACTTCTAAATTATGAATGATTTACCATTATGTTATAAAATATTTATCATTAAGTTGTAAATTATTTTATTAAATTGTTAATGATTTACCACTAAATTATTAATGATTTATTATAAAATTATAATTAATTTACTACTAATTTATCGATAATTCACTAAAAAGTTATCAATGATTAACTAATAAACTACTAAATTATTATTGATTTATAATTAAATTATTAGTAATTTACTATTATATTATTAGTGATTTACTGTTAAGTTATTAATTTATTATTAAATTATTAATGATTTATTATTACATTTTTATATTTACTATTAGGTATCATTGACTTACTACTTAATTTTTTATTATTTACTAAAAAATTATCACCGATTTACCACTAAATTATCTATGATTTATAATCAAGTTATTATTGATTTATTATTAAGTTATTACTAATTAACTATTATCTTATAAATTATTTACTACTAAATTATACTGATTTACTTTTAAGTTTTCAATGATTAACTACTAAATTATCAATTATTTACTATTAATTTATCATTGATTTACTATCAACTAATTATATTAAAATGAAATTGATTTACTATTCAATTATTACTAATTTACTATTAAATTATCATTGATATATTATTAAGTTATCAATAATTAATTACAAATTATCACTTTTTTGTTGTTAAGTTATCCTTGATTTAGTATTATGCTATTATACATCTACAATTATATTATAATTGATTTACCATTAAAGTATTATCATATATTATTATATTATTACTAATTTACTAAAAAATTATCAATTATTTATTACTAAATTATCGTTCATTTATTATTAAGTTATCATTAATTTACTATTAAATTATCGATGATTATTATTATATTATACTAATTACATTTAAGTTTTCATTAATTAATTACTAAGTTATTAATTATCTACTATTATGTTATCATTGATTTATGTATATCCAAAAAGAAAGTAATAACAATGTATGCTAAATGATATAATTTGTAAGATAAAGATATAAAAAAAAAAGTTCAAGTTTAAATGATTTGAAAAATATAAGTAAATGCTCTTAATTTACTCCATAGCTTAACATGTAATAATAAGCTAAAATCATAACTTTTTATACTAATATAAGTATTAAAACTAAATTAAATAAATATACACAATATATATTAAGTCAATATTTTAAAGATTTTTTTCAAAATTTTTAGTTCATGGTAAAATAGTAGATATTAAGATAAGCATTATTGATGATTTGATTAAATTATTAGTGTATATATTTTCATACTTGTTAGCAAAGTAAAATTGAATATAAAAGATTGAAAGTTTTGAAGTGTTTTATCATAAATGGAAATAATAAATTTTACCTTATGTTTCTATTTTTAAGTATACAATTTTAAGTAAAATTTTTTAATATCTATGATAAAAGTAATCTGAACTTATTTACTAAATAAAATTTATGAAAATTAAATTTCACAATAATTTTAAAAAATATTATATTCATAAAAATTACTTTCTCATTTTTCATATATATATATATATATATATTATACTAAACAAAAACATGGTATATTTTTAATTGTTGCTTCATTCTAATTACCACCATTCAAAACAACTTTTTTGATATTTTGATGCTAATCAACTTCTCTATTTAAAAAGAGTAAATAATATTTCACATTCTCCATAAAAAAATTTTTTTGCTAAATGAAAAGATAGTATATTTTTAATTGTTACTTCATTTTTATTACCATCATTCAAAATGGCTTTTTTAATATTTTGATGTCAATTAACTTCTTTATTTGAAAAGAGTAAAAAATATTATAAGGGGTCATAACAACAAAAATAATGTTTAATTCTAAGTTATCTTTATGAATAAGTTTGAACTATGATATGATCTCTTTCAAATAAAATGTTTGAATTGTTTTCTTTAACTTATATAGTAGTAATTTGATTAATAAATGAACAATTATAAATTCGTTGAATTATATTAACATTTTTACAATATGAATTTCAAAATTCTTAAAAAAGAAATGTCATTTAATCTCTGCGAAACTTGGGCATAAATATTTTTTTTCTAAAATTATCATCTGTAACTTTATCACTTTTGTACTTAAATTTTTATTATATTGTATTCTTATTTTATTTCGAGATTTATTACAGGTGTTATAAAATTATAGTTAAAATAGCATGGATTAATAAAATCAAACTTGAAACAATTCAAAACTCAAATTAAATATAAATAAAATTTGTACATATTTTAAATTTTAATTTAATTGAAAATAATATAATACACATTATTATAAAAATGAACTAACTTAATTTGATTTCAATTGATTTTAAAACGTTAACAACTTAGTAATTCTTTAAAATTCAAAATGATTGAATATAATCAAAATCTAAATTAAAATAGTAACCCAATTAAAATCTAATATTAGTGATTTATCTTCCATAACAATTTAAAAATTTTTTTACTTAAGCTTCTTTTCCCTTCATCTTCAATGTTTTATTTTTATTGTTTTTGTTGTTGAATTAGTTAATTAATTTTAAGAGAATTTTTAAAATGAAATTAAAATTATAAGTAATTCAATATACTTATTTTTTTATTTAAATTTAAGATGATTTAAATCTACATTTTTAAATAAAGAGAAGTATGCACTGATTATTGAGTTAAATAGGCTCAGATGCATAAGTGAATAATTGAATATTCTATGAATAGAAGTAAATAATAAAACTTGACTTAACTTAATAGGTTGCTGATTTTAAGTTTAAAATCTAACTCGAAATTATAAAAGTCAAAATTAAAAATAATTGAAATACTAAATACATAATTAAATAAAGATTTATCAAATAAATTTTGATAATGAATTCCTTAAAATGACTTTTAAAATTAGTTAAATTATAATTTATAATAATTTTTTATTTTATATATATAGTGATAATTAATTTGATAAATTTCAGTTCTTTTAAACAAAAATTACCTAATATGATAACCTAAAAAGTTTTTAGGTTAATAGTTAATATTCTTCAACTAATATAAAAGAGATAATGAGTATATAACGTTTCATCAAATAAAAAGTTGCCTATTAATCATAAAAAAATTTGAAATCAATGTATTTATATATTTTTTATTGAAATATCATATAACAGTAACATTTTTTATCATATAAAGATGATAAAATTATGCATAACCAATCAATTTTTTATTTCATTTTTCTGCTTAAAATAATCTTCTATTGGTGCTTTTATTAATTTAATATAATTGTACATTCTATCAATTAAAAGCTTAATTTTTTTATTTTAAAAATTTTATTATACATAATTTTTATTATATAAAATATTAAAATACATAATTTTAAAAAATAAAGTAAAACAAAATCTTGCGTTAAAAAAATTTATCATAAACAATTAATTTTATTTTACTTAATAATTTTTTACTTGGAATAATTCACATTAAATCATTCAACCACCTAGATTATTTGATGTGAAAAATCATTTTATTTATAAATAATAAAAAAAGTCATTTAAATTAAAATTTCTAAAAAAATTATCACTCACTTTTAATTTTTTAAATTAAATTTTTATTAAAAATATTTTAATCAATCATTTTTAATTTTTTTTAGTCTAATTATAAAAAGAAAGAGTCTAATAATAAAAAAATTCATATAAAAACATTTAGTAATGATATTTTAGGCAATCACTCTTAATACTTTTAAAATTAAAATTTTTAAAAATTTAATTTTACATAAACTTTATTTTTAATTTTAGTTGATTTAAATTAAATTTAAATTAATTAATAAAAATTATAAATATTAAAAAAAAAAATTTGTGAGGGTATTTAGATAGTTCATTATTAATAATTTTGGAGTTCACATTTTTATATGTAGATATAGACATAAATATAGATATATATATATATATATATATATATATATATATATATAGATATGCTTATCCGTTTAGGGAGGTAGCTAGAGATTATCATTTTTTTGTAAGAACTTGGGGGCCAGAATAAATGAGAGAGCTCAGCTGATCATGCTAAAGTTCTCGTTTGTCCATTCACAACGATAATATTGCCATCTACTAAAATTTCATATGCATGATAATTCATTTATTACTACTGGGACTTTGATTTGATTTCCAGCTTCTTGATCAGATTTTTACAGAAGCAAAAGTTCTTTCCTTTAGAACTCATTCTATATCTTACGGTACTTTTCATTAGTTAAAATTTTCTTCTTTTTTTTTTTTTCAATTTATTAATAATGAAAAAAGGCAAAAACATTTCATAGCCTAAAAACCAGAAAACACGGCAGCATTCAAACACCTATCCAAGATTAAACGCGAAAAGAAATACTTTGCACTTTGGTGTGCAAAACTTATTTATTACTCAGTATTCTTACACATGAGAAACATACATGTTATAACTTAACTAGGCAGTCAGGAGTCGATCCCTATCAGTTCATCCGAGGCTTCTTCATGCTCCAGGCATTAAGATTCTCAACGGTGATAGTCTCGGTCCCATGGTTGAATGCAAACAAGTGAGCATTCTCAAACACTGCTAATGTAGGATAAACCCTGGATGTGATGCATGTTTTTCCTTCAGCTCCGAAACTTTCCACAACAGAATGATCAATCTGCAAGGAAAAAAAAAAAAACAAATAAATAAGATACAGTAAAGGAGTACAGCATTAAAATTACTAGTAATTACAAATTAAAGAGCATACCAGACTTCTAAGAGTAAGCCTCTTATCAGCCAAATCTACATTGACAAAGCCAGCAAATGATGGTTTATATAGCCCATCCATCAATGAGGAGCTGCAAGAAGCTAAATCAGAAATTTGGTGAAATGAAAAAAAAGACTTAATAGTTACTGTTTCCGGGGAAAGTCATAACAGACCTCCTTGCATCAGAGCACAAGAGAACTACATGCTTCTTTGAACTTTTGAATACCCTGAAGAAGACAGGAGTATACTCTTCTAGGTTTTTTGAAGCTAATGTCAAGAGTCCGAATGGACCAACCCCACCTTGAACTTTTGCTCCCTTTTTTGCACAAAGTTCTTGGGCATTTGTCCAACTAGGATTAAATGGCTCAGCTTTATCCAAACTAGGAATATAGAAGGTAACAATAACATCAGCCTGTGAACAGTATCAAATACAATGGAGTAGTGTTATAAGTTATAACAGGAGTTTGAAATAATTATATCTCAAGTTCAAGTAAACAATTCTCAAGTAAACCTGGGCAGCAGTTATTCCTTTGACTTCAATATGATCGCCTGTTTTAAGCTGTTGGTGTCTCATTTTAACATTTTTCCCTCTTAGAGTCTCCAACTCTTCAATAGGCCATTGCGTCAATTGCCTTTGATTAGGATCAAGCCATACTGTTCTTGGAATTGCCTGGGATGTCATTATAAAAAAAAAAAACAAATTGTAAAAAGTCATCAATTTAACATTAATGACCAAGCAATTACTATATATATCTACAAATTATATCAGTACCTGAATTCCAGCCCATCCTTTTTTAACATCATCTTCAGTAGTATCAGATTCATTAACCCAACCCCACAAAATCCTCCTTTTTTTGGCAGGATCAAAGAATGTCTTTGAAGCATAGAAATTTCCATAATCATATCTAAGGCCAGCCCAACCATCAACTGATGTATTATCAGGAACATATCTATCCTTAGCAGTTAAATATGTACCGATCGTATAGTAATCATATCTGGTAACATCCAAGCTCACCTTCAAAACATGCTTGATAGGTTTTCCCCGGAAATTGGACGTTTCTAAACCTTCTTTACCAGATAATAAAACTGGATAAAAATCAGGGCATTCCCACATTCCTGTATAGGGTGCAGAATGTAAAGGGTGTTTAGCCTTACTCCAATACATGAAATCTCTACTTCTATACAGATAGGCTATCCCTCTATGGTTCCTTTTGCTTCCAACCAGCATTCTCCAATGCCCATTTAACCACCAGGCAGTGGTTGGGTCACGGAACGCACTGGCATTCACGCCTTCTTCAGGATCAACCATTGGGTTGTTACCCGGCTTGATCCATTTACGCAGATAGGGATCAGATAAATTGGCTGGCACTGCATAGTTTTGGACTTGCCTGTCTTTGGGATCAAGACCAGTATATAAAATTATAGGCTTATTGTTAGGAAGAATGGTGGCTGAACCAGACCAAGCACCGTTGATATCAAAGTGTTCTGAAGGATAAATTGCTGGTTCAAGTGCTTCCCAATTGATCATGTCTTTTGAAACTGAATGTGCCCAAACAATGTTGCCCCAAACTGCACCTTCGGGATTGTATTGGTAGAAAAAATGGTATATTCCATTGTAGTACATAGGGGCTACAAAACCAAACAAAAATGGAGAACAATTACATGGGAAAGCATAGAATAACTAAGGACATCAAATTTGTAGGATTATGTTAGGAAACTGACCGTTTGGATCTGTTGTAGATTTGTTCATCATTAAAGGATCCAAGGGAAAAAATAAAAAACAAAACAAAGAAAAACAAGATGTTAATTGGTTACAAACTATAATTTAGAAAATCATTGTTGAGAAAAATTAACTGTCAAATGAAAAAAAAAAGTTGAAGTCTTCATGAAAGTGAATTTATGTTTATATAAAATATATAAATATGTTGAGTTCTGCTAAAAGTTAAGCTTCTAGAAAACAAAATATCCTTGTATATAACCCACAGGAAGGACCACAACATAAAGAAGAGAATTTATGAAAGTGGCTCCACCATGGACCAAAAAATGATTCCCATTTACCCAAGGACCAAAAAGGGAAAACAGTTTGCAATTGCATTGGTGGTCCAAATCCAAAACGAGTAGCAAATTCAGCAATGGTATACTGTTTGGAGGAGAGAGAGGTAGAGAGGAGGACCAATACCATGTTGATAATTTCAACCAAAAGCCTAAATCTGAGGTGATCAGATATGGCCAGATCGATCGGTAGGCTCCAAGTTGCAAATCCCGGAGTCCTATCCTCTTCCTCAAGATGTTAAAAAGCCATGAAAGATAGTTTTGTTAATGCACATATTTATCATATGTTTTGTCTTGTACCCAAAAAAAAAGGGTTTGTTCTTCATGTACAAGATAATCAATGTACATATACTTGGAATAGAATTATAATTATTCTCTTTTCTTAATTATTTTCCTTTCATATCGTTTCTTTTCTATTTTTTTTTAATTATAAGTTAATTTTATTTATTTTAAAAGATAGAAAGAACCTACTACTAAAATATATCTTAACAAACTCAACATAAGAGCAATAACGTTAAAGAATTGCAAAAGTAAAACAGAAGAAATCCATCGGCCTGTCAATGTCTCAATTTCTATATTAATTAAAGTAATTAAGAAACATTTAAAGGCTCATTGGCTATGCATTACTAAAAATATATACTTTAAATCAAATCTCTTTTTTTTATATACATATTTAGAAAAACAACACTGCATAAACAGATAAACATATAAATAATGGAGTGGGGGAATGAGGATTTAAAATTACTTCACGCGTGATGCCACCCCACAAAACTCAAAGGAAGTAGGCAGTTGTTTTACGTAACACAATCTTCAAAGTACTAAAACCAACAATATTTTATAATATCATTTTGTAAGGGAAATAAGGATTCCTGAGAATCTTTAGATTCTTATGAGAAATCTCATCCTAGACTTAAATATATATATATATATTTCAATAATTAATTTATTGATAAAATATTATAATCTTAATTTTAATAATTAAAATTCAAATCTTGATTGTTTCATGTAAATATATATATATATATATATATACATAAAGAAATTTAAGTATAAAGTAATCATGCATGGCAACGAAGCAGCATGCCTTAATGTTGCTGTTTAATGTCTCTAAAGTTCCCCTTTGAAAACCAACAAAAAAAAAAAAGGGAATGGAACATAGCTTGATCCAGGAGAAACCAGGCAAGTCCATGACAAAAACTAAAGCTACCTTGCCTGGTTCGGAAACCCCTCAATTTATTCGAGCAAGTCAATGCATGAAAAAGAGGCAGTAAGTCAGCTATATATATACATATATATATATATGTAGGTATGTATTAACTAGCTAATTATTCCTATGATTGATAAAATATAGAAGCGGCTAATCTTCTATCAATAATCAAACAATTTTATCTAGTATAATTAATCAATCAAAATTAAAAGTTACGTGAAATCTACCAAATCAAATTATTTTATTTTCAATAATTATAATATAATTAACAGATCAAAATCTAAAATTATATAAAATTTATCAAATCGAACTATTTTACTTATAATAGCTATAATATAATTAATTAATCAAATTAAATTTAAAATTATATGGGTCCATCCAAATTTTACATGCTTTTTACACTTATAAATGATAGATCATTAAATAAATTTTTATTATAATAGAACAATTATATTATCATAATAAAAAGAATTGTAAGTGATATCCTCCTCATCAATAATAAGCCCGGCAAGATAAAAAAGTTTTCAGAAGCGGAAATAAAATCGTTCCTAATTCAAAAAAATAAAAATCTTGAAAACCACTGCTTGCAGAAATGACAAAGAAACCAGTAAAAGAATAAGGAACTAGAAAAGAAAAGACACAAAAAAAAAAAAAAAAACCTCATGACTTATATGTGAAGAAAACGTACCGTTGATCCAGTTCTTAGAAGGCTGAAAATGATAGCCAGTTCGGTGAAGTTGCTGGACGCTAACTGCACTTAAAGACTGAAATTGGGGATAAACTCTGTGAGACGCTTCGACTCCGCCATTGTTAGCGTTGATTATGACAAAAACAAAAGTGATGAATATGCCAAGCGAGAGGAACCTCGAAACTGCCATTGAAACCAAACACAAAGGGGCAGTTAATACACTACTTAACTTGGTTGTAAGAGTACGAAGTTGGGTTGGGTATTTATAGGGAAAGGAGAAGGTGGTCAATTTTTTTTTTATTGAAATCCGAATTTAAAACTCTTAATTTTAAGCCCATTCTAAAATTACCAACTAAAACATCCTTAATGTCAATTTTTTTCAAATAATATGTAATGGATGACGCAATAATTGATTCTGAATATTTTTTCTTTGCATGAATAAATAATCTAAAATATAATTAACCATGCAAACTTTTTTTTGGGGGTGAAAATGTAACTATATATGCAACCCTTTGATCATAAATATTTGTCGTTTGTCGTATAGCCAGCATATAGATATAGACACCGCCCAATCGATACACCGGAGGAAGCCGAACCCTACATAAATATAAAATGGAAGTCCACATCCCATTTAATTGAGCCTTTTGTTGGGGAACACCACAGCTCTGATACCACTTGTTGGGCTAAAAGCCTTCAATCCAATCACACCAGCGGAAGCGAAATCAAACAATAAATCAAACACACAAGAAACAACAATTTAACGTGGTTCGGTCCAACTGACCTACATCCACGGATGAGAAACAAGATCCACTAGTTGTAGAGAATTACAAACATACATCAAATCATCAACCTCACTCAACAATCAATACTCATAAGACACTCTCAATCTCCTCTAGTCTTATGGAGTATTCTAAACCCAAATAAACACAAACTCAAACCCTTGTGCACCCTTTCAACATGACCAAACACATACCCATATGCTCCCATACATCATACCTATATGGACCCTCTCAGTCTCCTTTAGTCCACTCATAAACAAACATACACACCCATAAGACGTAAAGCCCCAATACTCCTGTGGGGTGTCTATCCCACAAAACCCTACAACTCTCTTACATCTTTTTCTCATACCTAACCCTGTAGAGACTTCACCTATTTATAACCATACAAACTTGCCCATTAAGAATCCCTCTCCTCTTAGAATTCTTCTCCTGTAAGTCAAACTTGCCTATTAAGAATCCCTTTCCTTTTAGAATTCTTCTCTTGCAAGTCAAACTTACCTATTAAGAATCATCTTTCTCTTGGAATTCTTCTTTTGCAAGTCTTCTTGTCCATCAAGCAATATCTGACAAATCCCAAACAAATCTCTAACAAATCTCAAACGAATCTCTTATGGGATTTGAGTCAATATTCCCAACAATCTTCACCTTGACTCAAATTCCATCAATCATCTGTCTTCATGCTAGACATGCTTGGCTTCACCTACAATGGAAGTCTTACAACCATCTTCTTTTCTCTTGTGTCTTCACGCTTCATACAAAACAATCTTCAATCTTCAAAACTCGAACTCGAACTCTTCCCTTTCCCATATCTCAAACTGTCAACTATTCTCATGTCTCAAACTATCGGCTCTTTCCACATCTTGAATCTTCAACTCTTCTCACGTTTCGAACCTTCAGCTCTGATACCACTTGTTGGGGAACACCACAGCTCTGATACCACTTGTTGGGCTAAAAGCCTTCAATCCAATCACACCAGCGGAAGCGAAATCAAACAATAAATCAAACACACAAGAAACAACAATTTAACGTGGTTCGGTCCAACTGACCTACATCCACGGATGAGAAACAAGATCCACTAGTTGTAGAGAATTACAAACATACATCAAATCATCAACCTCACTCAACAATCAATACTCATAAGACACTCTCAATCTCCTCTAGTCTTATGGAGTATTCTAAACCCAAATAAACACAAACTCAAACCCTTGTGCACCCTTTCAACATGACCAAACACATACCCATATGCTCCCATACATCATACCTATATGGACTCTCTCAGTCTCCTTTAGTCCACTCATAAACAAACATACACACCCATAAGACGTAAAGCCCCAATACTCCTGTGGGGTGTCTATCCCACAAAACCCTACAACTCTCTTACATCTTTTTCTCATACCTAACCCTGTAGAGACTTCACCTATTTATAACCATACAAACTTGCCCATTAAGAATCCCTCTCCTCTTAGAATTCTTCTCCTGTAAGTCAAACTTGTCTATTAAGAATCCCTTTCCTTTTAGAATTCTTCTCTTGCAAGTCAAACTTACCTATTAAGAATCATCTTTCTCTTGGAATTCTTCTTTTGCAAGTCTTCTTGTCCATCAAGCAATATCTGACAAATCCCAAACAAATCTCTAACAAATCTCAAACGAATCTCTTATGGGATTTGAGTCAATATTCCCAACACCTTTTTCTTAAGGATTCTTTAGCTTGATCATCATCATTCACTATTACTGGTTATAATATTTTTAGCATATTGGGATTTTTTTAAATTTTTTTTCTTTTGCAAATTTCAAATCTTATTATGCTAAACCAAAATAGTGGATTCACATAAATGGCACCCTAATTATTACTTCTATTTTTTTATATAAGGAAATCTCATCACATGATAGCGATTAATGTACAACAATTTCATGATCAAATAACCTATAAATGCCCAGAGCCACTTGGTTTTATATTAGGTAATAAAGATCTTCTATGTGAAATGTTGGTAGAAATTTTATTAAGAAAAAGGAAAGTTAAATTCAAAAGTTTCACTTATTATAATTAATAAGTACATCTTTACCATAAATATATAGAGTGTTGTTCACATGAAATAGAGATAAGAGATTCGAAAAAATACTGAAGTTCATCACATGATTCTCACAAAGTTGTAATTACATGCAATATGGTCCCATATCCAAAACTCTTGTTTTCGAAAGATATGCATGAGATATAACTTTCGTTTTCTAAAACTAATAATTAATCCCCTTAAAATTAGCAAGTTAATTGACAAGTAGATTGTTTTTGAACCTTGATTTTAGAGTACTTGAAGTTTTATATGATGCATAAAATAGTACTAATGCAAACGACACCCAAGATTTATCCATACATGGAGAAGAAAAAACAAAAACAAAAACAAATGAACACTCCAATAATTGTCATAAATTTGGACATCCCAATAATTGTTGGTGAAAATGCATGAAGTCTCGTGGTTGGGAGCTGTGAATATTTTTTTTCTGTATTTGAAAATGTCAAGAGTTAAATTCTTATCATTAAAATTTAAATTTAATATTCTATTAACAGATTACATAATTTTTGGCACTAGCCAAGAGATTTATTTGTTATTTTGCTTGTTTGAGAGCAAAGAAAAACCCATCTAAATTTAGTTCATATCTTCCAAAACCAAGGCCAACGTTTTAGTAATAAGTTTTGTATAATATATTGGATGGGATAATGAGCTACTTGTCGTTCAATTATTAAGTTTTTGAGCAATTCTTTTATGGAGTTTAAAATTTCGCAATTCCTCTTTGAAGCATAGAAAGCCATCAACGATGATTTACAAATGGATCAAGACACATTTAAACTCACTTATGAAGTTTTTAAAAATCTAACATTAGTGTATATATAAGATAATAATCTATAAATAGAACCATTTCCTTCCTACCTTTAATATCTTCTTTAGAAGAGAAACTATGGATATAATAGGAATAGCAATACATATGCCAGCCAGGAAAAATTTTAACAAAAAAGTTATTAATTATTTTATCTTTTGAACTATAATTGAAGTCGAATTTGAGATCCTCGAACCGACTCTAATAATACTAAATAAACAAATCATTATTTTTAAAATAAGTTATTAATTTGTCATAAATAATTGAAGCTGTTACTTGTACGAAGATATATATCTGATGGTTCATGTGAACGACCAATCCCCCTTTCATTATCTCCAAGCAAAACCCTTGGCCAATTTTTAAGTCAACTGTATCTAAACTTTAATCAATTTTGTTATTGTCCAGTGTGTGTAATTCTATCTTATCCTCTTTTGCTCTTCAATGGAGATTTCAAAGCTTCTCTCTCTTTGTTTACTAGTCTGGAACCTTATTACAATAATTAATTTTAACAATGGTGTCGAAGGTTCCAACAGAATTTAGCCTGAATATCAGTCTCTCACTGCAATTACCGTTAAGCAATTACTCCACATAACTGGCTTACCACTTTCAGCCTCCGAAGCATTGGATCAATCAATGGTATGTTCTTCAATTCAATGGCTTAATGTTCATTTTAGAATCTAACTTTTATAAAAAAATTCTTCATTTCGGGATTTCAATCAAGTATTTTTTAAAAAACTAAACTATAATCTTTTCGATTTTAACAAGTGTATTTGTTTTAGACTAAAAAAAACCAATATAAATTTGTTTGTTAAGAGTTACCCTCTTGTGCCTACTGTTATTTGCTTTACATAAGGTAAAACTTTTTTTTTTCACAAAATAAGTAGGTCACAACTTGAGAATGAAAAATCTTAATTGCAGATGTTGAAATTTGATTTCAGATTTTTTAAACAATATTATTTAAAAATAATTACATGAATCAAGTAAAATAAACTTCAAATTCAAACCTATTTTTTTATTATAATGTTACTTTTGGAAGTTGGATACACTTTAATATATACTTCCAACTTTAGTTTGTATAGCCAAGAGAAAAAGACTGTCAAAGTGTCATCAGGCGAATGGACCGTTTTCCTATTGGCTGCAAGTTAACACGGTAGTGCATGTACAAAATTCAGTTTAACTTACTACTCATATTTATATAAACTCATGGTGCAATATCGAATCACTTGGTTGACACATCTTCTAAAGAACTAGTTATCCACTGCCTACTTTTGCTTTTGTTCCTTGGTGGTGGAATCACGCATGCCATTGCAAAGTGAAGCTATCACTCTAAAAATATCTTACCTGTTTATATGTACTTTATAATAAGCACTTCTTTATATATATACGATGCTCCTTCTGAATCCTAGTTTCAGCAAAGACTTCCATTTAGAGAAAAAAGAAACTTGTTTTTTTCTTTTGCCCCCACTACTATAGTGTTCTTTTTTAGTATTATGAAAAATAAGATGAATATCATGGGGTTCCCCCACTTTCAACTAGAACTTAAAAAAACCAGAATCCGGACAAGAAAAGAACAAATTTTTATAGCTTTCGGGTTTGGCAAGTTAAAGCAGAGAGAAACTTACTTCCCTTTTGTAATTTTGGATTTCGTTGTCAAAGTTTGATTGTTTCATAGTTGCAAGGCGTGATGGGTGGATATCATATTCAATGGAATTAGTTAATTTCTCTTGTGGAGTTTATGGCAGAGATATGAGATGCAGAAATGGTAGTCGAGCATTTATTGGTGGAGCTAGTTCCATAACGTAAATCCAATGGGTTTTTTAATGCATACTTTTTACCTAAGACCCCAACATATAACCTGTTATCTATCTCCAATCATCTTCGATTTAGTTGCGATGATTTACCCTGTGACATGGCGTCAGGCCTGGGTTTCAGTCTGGGACCTTTTCAAAATAAATTCCCTTACTACAAAAAGAAAAAATAGTACCATTTTATGCAGGCACCGCCGTTAGATATGTATAAATATATATTCTGGACATTAGTTACTAAGTCAATATTATCACTAAATTCTTGTTTCTTTCTTTCTTTCTTTACTTGGGTTTTCCCTTGGGGGTGTTTAAACAATGAAAAAAATTCTTGAAGCAGATCCAAATGGTGAGTCTACTCAACGGTATGATGCAAATTCTAGGCTATACTTTGTCCAATTTATACTTCCTTAGTTTCTTTTAATCCTACGGTTCCTACCTTTTCCAAGCAATTATTCTCCCAATTTATATGTTTATCAAACAGGCCCCATTTATTACAAAGGATTTTACCATTTGTTCCACCAGTAGAATCCCAAAGGAGCAGTGTGGGGCAACATTGTTTGGGCACATTAAGGGTCAAAAGATATGGTGAATTCGGAATCACTTGCATATGCAATCACTCCGACCGCAACCTTTGATATTAAGGGCTGTTGCTCAGGGTCAGCCACCATTCTTCCAGGCAATAAACCTGTAATTTATTACACAGGAATTGATTCCATGAAAACCAGGTACAAAACTATCCTCTACGGTAGATGTTTCAGGCCTTATCCACGTAAATGGAAAAAGCTTGAAGAGGGAAACCCGATGGTGGTTGCTGACGAAGGCATGAAGGCCAGCGCCTTTCGTGACCCTACCACAGCTTCGCTGGCAAATGGGACTCTATTGGTTTGATAGGAAGTACAAATGACCGTACAGGGATAGCCCAACGGATCTCAAAGAAATGGACCAAGGCTCCACAACACCTTTTAAACTCGATCGGTCCCTAATACTGGAATGTGGGAATGTCCAGATTTTTATCCTGTTTCGAAGTCTGGTGAAAATATGCATGAACACATTTGTACTATGAAATGATGTGAAACACGTGTTGAAGCTGACTTAGATCTTGCAAGCTACGAGTATTACACCCTTGGAACCTATTACCCAGATCAGGATAAGTACGTGTCTGACAAGACAAGATTGATGGTTGGGCTGGGCTTAGATATGATTATGGTTTAATGACATTATTCATTGCCGGGTTGGGCTAATGAATCAGATACCGAACAGATGATGTTAAGAAAGGATGGCTGGTATTCAGGTACCTCATATATCTTGATATTCAATCAATATATACTTTGAATTTTAATTAATGGCATTATTATCTCTGTCACTTCCAAGAAGAGTCTTGTTTGATCCCAGCGGAAAGCAATTGGTGCAATGGCCTATTGAAGAAACAGAGACTCTAGGGGGAAAAAGTCTCCAAATAAGGAATAAACGGCTTAAACCGGAAGAGCATATTGAAATCAGAGGAATAAGTGGGTTCCATGTTTGCTCCCTAATATAACTTTTTTTAAGAATACAGCAACCCGAAAGCATTCTTTGCCGGTGCCTTTCAATATAACGTTGAAAAAATGAACCAGCTGTTGAAGCACTTCAACGAAAGTAAGCTCCCTGAATACACAGACGCCACTCTCAAGCACATCTAGTTCAAATGTCCAATCCGATTAAGGACGAAAATCTAGGTAAGAAATGGTTATTTCACTGTGCCTTGGCCCTTAGCTATAAGTGAGGCCTTGTTCTTCTGAACAGTTGATACGTCAATCCTGAAAGACTTGGCAATAATATCATCCCTAATGTTAGTTGGAAAAACAGACCCAGAAGCAGTTATGGTTCCAGCATTTGCACTACCGAAGGCAGAAATCGCAAAAGCAGAGACCTGCCCTTGGTTATATTGATAGTGAACAACCCCCTTTAGGGAAGATAAACAGATCTCCTGCATGAAGTGTCTGACAATGTATCATATTCTCTGCATCAACAAAGCCCACTTCAAGAGAGCCTATGATAAGAAAAAGAAGCTCAGCGCATGAGAATGGCTGTGAACAGTATTTTAGGAGCCTGAAGGGAACTGCAACACAGCATAAGAAACGCCCTAACCATTTAGGCCCGGAAATTCAGCCTCTCTGACTTTCATAACCTCAAAAGCTGTAGGTAGATCAGAGCCCCAATCAAGACACGGAAGGCAGTATGAGTGAAGAAGTTTGCATCAGCAGCGGAGAAATTTGGAGCGAGGACAGAGTCAACCTTGAGGTCTGTCTCACGAGCATTTATCACCTGGGAAACCATCAAAATATCAAACAAAGGACATGAATGCATGATATGATACCCATGGTGACAGTTAAGGTTGTACGATACAACTAAACTATGTTAGATGATATCATAATTACACAGATGATGGTAAAAGCAAAGATGATTAGGGATCGCGAATGCATACTCATGGTATGTATGCAAAAATTTATATTAGAGGACAACCAGAACCTTTGTAGCAATATGAGATGGATTCTCCACCATATGCAATTGACCAACAACTATAAAAGAAATAAAAATGCTTTTTACTCATTTCTTGGAATCATCATCAAAGGACCAAATATTGTATGTTAATTTGTCCAAGTTTTAAGACATTCCACGTAGACAAGGACACAGTTAATTGATATTCACAGGGATGTCTATTAAAGCCCCATTAAAGAATTCGGTCCTGTCTAGTAAGATAATTAAATAAGACATGGAAAAAAATTGATAACCAGCGAACTACAGCCCAAATTTACAAATGTTGTAAATTGAAAAGAATGTTGGAAAAAATTATATAGTGAAATCAATTATTTTAAATAATGTTGTACTACTAACTAGTTAGGAGGAGGAATGACATGGTATAGGCTAAAAATTTTCATCACTGTTTGTCTGATTCAAACAGTTAAAGAGGAAGCAAACCATCAATAAGTATGACCAAAGAAAATTGTAGCTTATATTTCTAGGGAAGTTTTTATTTTTCACAAGATTTAAGCGCAAATCTAGGTATAATCCAAGTGGAATTTAATAGAACTATTTGTTCTTGTACACTAAATTAAGTCAACCTTATATCACTACAAGCCAAATGGCCTCAAGAACCGCAGAAGTTCCCTAATCAAAAGCAGATGCATCATGCATGTTAGACATTTAAGATTAAAGAATCCTACTAAATATGATATGATGCTTTAATAGTACACGTAAAAGGGGAAAACTAACCTGTCAATATCAAGTAAGCCAATTACCAGTAGTCCCCACATGAACAGGTGCCCTTATTGAAGTGGTGAAATCTATTTGCATCTCGGACGATAATCAACCTCTTTGTAATAGCTGATACAAACTTAATAAATGTGTGGCAGTCACCACAAACTCTAAGATTCTTTGTAATCCTGAGAGGAGTTCCCTCAGGTGTGGCAATAAGACCAAATGCAATAGCCAATTTTTCACTATGTGTATACAAGATTCCAGCCTTAACTTCCTCATCAACATCATGCAACACAAAATTTGTATCAGGAACATAACCAGCTAACTCCAATTTCTCACTCATACTCTTCAGAAATCCATAGATCTCCTTCGACAGAGGATGAGACTTGTCCCCAACATTAAATTGATGAATCTTGTTGTCCACCTCAATCCAGGTCCAACCAGGAATCTTTTTGAAACTCCTTTCAGTCATCAGCTTCCTAATTTTTGCCATATCTTCCCACCTACCAGCATTTGCATAAATATTGGAGAGTAACACATAGTGCCCAGGATTCTGGGGCTGTAGTTCAAGAAGAGATTTTGCAGCCCTTTCTGCCAACTCTACCTTTTTATGGATTCTACATGCCGCAAGCAAAGCACCCCATAGTCCTTCATCTTTCTCAACTGTCATGTTCTCGATTAAGTTCAAGGCCTCATCAAGTCTTCCAGCACGGCCTAAGAGATCAACCACGCAAGTACAGTGCTTCACATCTGGTCTCACAGCATATTCGTCCCACATCACGTTAAAAAGCTGAAGACCCTCGTCAATCAAGCCAGCATGACTACAAGCATATAACAGAGAAACAAAAGTTATCCTGTTTGGTGTTATCCCACTACTCAACATCATAGGAAATAAATCAAGTGCTTTTCTGCCCTGTCCATGGTACCCGTAAGCAGCAATCATTGCACTCCATGAAATTACATTCTTCTCTAGCATCCTATCAAAGATTTCCCTTGCGCAATCAACACTCCCACACTTTGCATACATATCAATCATTGCAGTACCCAATATCACATCAAAACTGAAATTCAGTCTACAAATATAATCATGAACAAATCTAGCCTTATGCATAGCACCCAATTTAGCGCAAGCATTAACCACAGTTACCATATTAATCTTATCCGGAACAACACCTTCCTCTCTCATCCATTCAAACAAAACCAACGATTCTTTAGCATTCCCACACTCAGCATATCCACCTATCATAACAGTCCAAGTTACAAGGTCTTTGTTTGGCATATTATCAAACAATCTACGAGCATCGCTAATGACCCTACATTTTGCATACATGTCAACAAGAGCAGCACAAACAAACTGATCCAAACACAATCCAGATTTCAAAACAACATCATGAACTAAACTACCCATCAACAAGTCCATCCTATCCCGACAGACCCTTAAAACAAAAGGCAAAGTATAATTATCAGGCTGAACACTGCACCTAATAAGTTGCCTAAAAGTTCTAAAACAATTAATAAAGTCACCAGCTTTAGCAAACCCACCAATCATAACACTCCAAGAAACCGAGTCCCTTTCTCTCATTCCATCAAAAAAAGCATAAGCTTCACCTAAAGCCTTGTGTTGAACATATATGTAAAGGACTTTGTTTGTAACAAAGAGATTATTTAATAATCCATTGGCAACTACTTGGGCATGAACTTGTTTTATTTGAAAGATGTTTTTGCAGTTTAACAAAGCAGAGATAAAATATTTGGGGTCTACATGGAGTGAAGAATGAGATTCTAGTGGTTTTTGCTTCTGGGTTTCGAGTTTTAGGGAAGTTTCTTGAGTATTTGCAATTGCAGCAATAGATAAAAGGCGGAGTCTTTCATGGTTTGCGATAAGCAATGTTTGGTCTTTCTTGAGCTTTAACATGGGAACGGTACAAGGAAGGCAGGAATACTGTAGAAACAAACTCCCTAACGCTAACGGTTTCTGAACCGTACCTTTGTTGGAGAAAATACGAGGAAACATGCATTGGTCGAGTTGAGCTCCCTTTTAACGTGTAACTTTTCTCTGACTCCTAGCAACTTTCTTCCAATTTCCTTTTCCAAAGTTTTTCAATAAAAATTTCTCAACAATTTTGTTAAGTTGGTGAGTAATTAAAATGAAAACAACACAAATTCCACTTTATCAATTTCAACAATCTTAAACATTTCTTATAAAAAATTTAAGAATATGGTAATAAATTTCAGTTTAATTTTACCAAATAAAAATCTCAAGTGGCTTAAAACAATGTGGAGAAATACTGAAGCTGAAATATATCTGGGCATCTTTGCAATATGCAATAGTGAATCAGAAAAGTAGAAATTTCAATTTCGAGTAGTCAAAAATGGCAAACATTTCGTAGATGATGAAGAAAAAGCAATATTCCATGAATTTTGAATAACACTTAACCCAATTGTGAGGTTTTGGCTCAATTTACATTCCTCTACTCAAAGCTAAAGATTAGTAATTAATCCTGAGAAAGGATTATTCGTCCTAAATAATCCTGAGGTTACTCAACAATATACCTTCCAAATTCCACCTTCAACCGCTGCATGCACAATTACAATCTTCCAAGATGATGATAATAACAGTTTACATTAATCATACAGATACAAATGCAATTTGCAAAGAACTTATAATTGAAGCAAGAAAATAACAGACTTTAGTTGATTTGGGAAAGGGGTGAGCGTGGTATTAGTGATGGCTTTAAACCCTTTGGCTCAAATGATTCGTATGAATTGTTTTCACGAAATTCTTCAACGAGAGCTTCCATTGGCATGGCTCGTAGTGATTCAATAGTCCCCTTCCTTGGAACTTCTTGTTCGCTTCTTATTGGAGTCGTCCCACTTGGCTCATAATCCTGTACATTATTTATGACAATGCACAATGTCGAATGGAGTAAATTTTCCGGAAATGTCATCACTTACAATTTGAGTGGAAAACAGAAATCAAACCAAGGCAGGCTCTCGGATGAAGTCATAAGCTGCATAACATACCATATATCTGTGCTGAAATGTTTCTTCTGCTCTCTGCTTGATGGATGTAGCTTGACTTGAATGATCATCCTGGAATGTCTCTAGGTTTTTACCATGAGCTTTAACGGATTCCAAGATTCCCGACATAATTCCTTGTTCCTGCTCTGACATACCTGTACAGAATTCCACAAAAATATACTCATTAAGAGGATACCAAAGGTAATTATTGTAAGAAGAAATGGCCAAATGGGCGATGTTCGCAGACATCCATAGATACCAATAGTACCATTCTCTTTTCAAGCATCTCCATGAATGTGAGCAACTGAAAGTTATTTTCCTTTTCTTTTTCTTTTTTTTTTGGGGGACATGGAGAGTTGGACCAATTGCAACTTATTTCTAAACCCCCCCCCCCCTTTCTCCATAGAATATTCTAAATTAAATTTGAATTCTTAGCTCTTGAATGGCATTATCTGATGCAAACAGGTTTATCAACCCACAAAGCATTAATAAACAGGTTTATCACCGAACAGCATTAACAAGTTGACAATAAAGTGAAAAACTACAAGTTTTCCCTCAAACCCTTTGCTTCCCAGAATTACCTTCCCCATATTTAAATACTAAATAAAACATCCTTCACACCATTGAATAAATGATATGATCGCTGTGCACCGTCAACAGAGATGCCTTACAACTAATTTTAAATATTTGTAGCAACTGTTAGCACCAAACATAAACTCTACACTCTAGAAGACAAGACAACAAGAAACTCACTATGCATGTACTGAAGGGTATCATCAGTATCCTTCAAGCCGTCTCGCTCAGCTGTAACCCGGGCACTATCAATCTCAGCATCATGCTGCTCATTTGCATCAGAAATACTCCTGAAAGAAGCATATCGAAATTAACTTCAGGAAAACAACAAATTACTACAGAAACAGAAGAATCCAACGTATAATTGTCTTGGTAATAGCCTTCAGAAATGGAAGAAACTATATTAGATGCTAATTTTCCAACATAAAAAACTTTAGCATTAGCTCTAGATAGAATTTATTTACTTTCCATGCATTTCAAATGGCAAAAAGATCGTAAAAGATGTTTACCACCAACCTGATAAGTGATGCCATATTTGAAACATGTTTACTACCCATCTCATTCACAGATTCTTGAGTATGTTTGCCGTGCGTGAACACAGATTCAGCAGTAGACACACTGAAGTAAAAGACAAAGAGAAAAAGTAAGGTTCAGAGATGCAAAGACAGGAGAAATAGATCCAGGATACAAACATGGCATAATTTACCATTGCTGTACGAGTGCCTCCATACGACAATGTTTGGCAGCTGAGTAATCGGCACCATCTTTAGCATTGTTCTCTGCTTGCACAGCAAATGCTTGCCATTTTCGTTTTGCATCTGTTGTGATACCCTCCATGGAGGAAAAATGTCCATCTAAAAATGTTTTGCTCGCAACAGCACTTTTTCTGATATCTACGAGCCTTGCATCAACCTGCCAGAGAAACCATCAGTTAGTCTTCAAATAAGGGTAAGGGAAACGTAGAAAATAAATACAGAGTGCACAAACCAGCTCTTTCTGCCAACGAACATGGTTATACACAAGACTTGTCATATCAGAAATAAGTTTCTCTGCATCAGACTTCGATTGCTCCTGCATAGTATATGCTTCATGAGTAAGAAATTTCAGCAACAAATCTCGGGGCAGGAATATGTGTATTATACCTCATAAGCCTTCTGGAAGCTAGCAATGTTCTTCATTTGAACTTCTTCAGCTTGGACTGCATGATCCTGAACCCTCACAGACTCTTCTGAAAGCTTATCAAGAATTCCATTGGTGTAATCAGAAATGTCCTTTGTTTGTTCGATACTTACATGGAACCTCTGTTAATCAAAAGGGAACAAAGAAAAAAATAAAATTACCAATGAAAAGGAAATTAATATAAAGTGAAAGAAGAAATCTACCGATGTAACCTATCTTTGGAAATTATGCTAATACTAAAAGTACAAGAAAAACAATATTTTGATAAAAAATCATTGCAGAATAAATACATGTCCTGCAATGTTATGCTCTAAAAGGAAAAAAATAGAAAATATATATATTGAAAAAATAAAGAGAGAGAGAGAGAGAGGTGAGGATGCTACAATCAGATATACATCACTATATCAGGGACAAGTTGAAAATTGGAGGACAAACCTGCCTTAGTTCCCTTGCAAAAAGAACCATTTCTCCCTGGTGAGTTGCAAGTGTACCCTGAAGATCATCAAACAGTGAAGCTGCTTTGCTGGCCTCAGACAAAAGGAACTGATCCATAATTCATAAACAAAAGAGGAAACAAATTAACAAGAGCAAAACTCAAAATAAATTAAATTAAACACAACCAACTCAAAATACCAGCACCTACCTCTTCTATAAAATGTGCATTTGAAAAGGCCAGATCTGAAATTTCGTCTAAGGCAGCATTGGAGCTAGCCTTGTGCAATCGCACAATATTTTGGACTGCCTCCATGTGGGAAACGTGCAAAGCCCTTGCAACAGTCACCTTTTTCTTCATATCCAAGATTGCCTAGAAGCAAGTTTTATGAATACAGGGTCAGCCACTGCTAGTAAATGAACTGCAACACAAAATGAGAACTACCACAGTGACAAAAATGCAAGACAGGAGGTCATTTCAGGGGGAGAATCCAGGATACAAAAAACATTCAACACCTTTTCATGTATATCTGTAAAAGAACAACATAGTTTCTCAACACTCTGAAGGTGTTCATTTTGCCGAGACACTGATGAGGCTACCAGGTTGCAAAGACAACCAATTTGTTGGGCTAGTTCTACTTGAAATTTATTAACCACTACTCTATTATCAGCCTTCAGTTTGTCTTCCCTTCCTATAAAGTAAAACATCATAGGGTCAGATTTCTATTTACTGACACACACAATAAGTATGCAATAAATAAATTGAATATACCAATTTTTAGGAACAATGAAGCATTATTCTTAAGAGCTTTCTCCAAGTCGGACCTTAAAACACAAGCTTGATGCGCTAGAGCATTTTCTGTTTTTCACCAATCAAAGATAATGTCAGCATATAGTAAATAATAATATAACCTAAAATTCAATTACATATTGTTGTGTACCTGCTTTTTTTTGTTCAGATATGATAAATTCTTTCTCATTCAACAAATAGCAACACTTCCTCAATTCTTCTTCAGAGTTGGCAAGGAATTTACTGGTTTCATTCAAGTTTCTCTACATTTTCCACCTATTTTATTAGCATCAATCATAGTGGTATAAAAGGATCAGATAAAAAACCTAGTAAGGTTCACCTCTGTCATCTCAAGTTTGCCACTCAAATCAGAGCACTGTTGAACTTGGGCAACATATTTATCTTGCAATTCCTCAAGTTGCTGTTTTGTAACAAACCAAAGACAGCAACTTATAAGCCACATAAATCAAACAAAGACAGCAAGCATCTCATGATTCCAAACAATTAAAAATGACATCAAAGCAAAAGCTAACCTTCTGATGGGTTTCTAGAAGGACCCCCATTTGTTCAATCTGATCAGCCATTGCCTGAACAAATGATGATCGAACACATGAACAAGAATAAATCAAAAGAAATCATTCACTATCACCTGAATAATCTGAGTACGTAACAAATGGATATCAATTATACTTGTATAGGGAAAAAATCATATTAATAGAATAGACAAAAACAGCAACAGTTTAGATTAGTGGCAAAGCAATATAACATTTAAGAAATGACATTGAAGAACATTGAAAAATAACAAAATCATTCGATATAGGCATAAACATACACCCTAAAGCTAGGGGGAGGTATGAACAAAACTGCACACCTTCCTTTCACTTTCCTCTTGGTAATAGCGCTCCTTTGGAATATAAACACCATTTTTCTCACGAGCAGCATACACCTCTGAAGAAATGGACAAAATCAAAGAAGAAATGTCCATTAGTCAACATAGTTAAATAAGGAATATTTTGTTGCCCCATATTGTTTTTTCTTTTTTTTAACAACCCCTCCAAAAAAGAAGTATCTTACCTGCCTTTAGGCGATCGATTTCGCCATAGAGGTCCTTGATAAGAGTTGATTTCATCATTTTTTGG